TGCACCCTGCCCGTCCCCAGCAGCCAGGCTTGCACAAAAGCACTAATTAGCTAATGCCTGTAAAGCACAGGGAGGGTGGTACGTGCTGTGGGCGCTAAGCTCAGCTGCCATGTGGAGGGTGGCCCTCCAGCAGGTCCCCTTCTCCTCTCCCATCCTGTCCCCATTCCCTGCAGCACTCATGGGAATGTCCCCCCAGCAGGGACATGACCAGGAGTCCCCTCCTGGCTGGTTGTAAACACCCCCAGCACAGCCCTGGCCACCAAACTGGGCTGTGGGAGCTGTGCTGGGAAGCCAGGACAAGCCTGGCATCGTCTGAATTGTCAAGGCTTTGAGTGTGTGTGGCAGCCAGGAAAGCAACAGTGTGGTGGGGGTCCAGGTAGGGAGTGAAAATCACACGCGGCGGGTCCCACAGCATTTTCCTCCTTCTTAAGAAAGAGGCATGCCCGACGCCGGAGGTGCTGGAGGTGAGCGAGGGGGGCAGCACCATTGCCCAGGAGGATTATTGCTCCCCGGGGGGCTGTGCCGAGCCAGAAGGGAACCCCCAGCTCTGCCTGGCCACCAGCGCCCGCCCCTGCGAGCCCCCCGCCGGCGAGCCCCAGCTCCAGGAGAAGCTCCAGCAGCTGCAGCTGGGCAGGAGCCCGGTCCCCAAGGGTGGCACGGTGCCCCCAGACCCCTCCTGCCTGCTGACACCACCCACCACCCCCCTGAACTTCGACTGCGGGAGCCCGGAGTCCCCGCAGGGCACTGGCAAAGGGCTGCAGGACGCCCGGAGGAACGGGATGAGCGGCACCAAAGGCAGCACCCCCGAAGGTACCGAGAGCTGGCGCTGCCCGGGGCTGTGGGGCTGGGCTCGGGCGGTGCCAGAGCCATAAGCTGCTCTCTCTGCCAGGCTGCTCGCCGACCCCCTACGACTACCCCACGCCGGAGTCGTCCAGCCGCAGCTCTGCCACCGACGACTTCTGCTATGTCTTCGTGGTGGAGCTGGAGAGGGGCCCCATCGGGCTGGGGATGGGGCTGATCGACGGCGTGGTGAGTTCTCAGCTGATGCCCTCACACAGCTGGAGTGGCACGTGTGAAATGTGGTTTATACCCCAAGAAAAGCCAGCAAAGAAGCTGATGCCTTCCCATGGGAGCTAGGCTGCTTCTCCTGGGGATGAGGAGGTACTGAGGGATCTCTCAGTGGATCTCTACTCGTAGGTCACCATGCCGTACATGCAAAGTGCACAGCTGTCCTGCAGCTGGGAAGAGAAAACAGGCTCAGCTCTTGTGGAAGGAAAATGACTCAGCCGAGGTCTTTCCTCCACCCTTCAGCGGTGGCAGGAGGAGCAGGGAGGCTCACAGGGTGTCAAAACAGCTCCTCCTTTGCATAAGGAGGAATCTGGCATTGTGGGGTGGATCATCCTTTTAAATGGCCTTTTACAGCTGTGCTGTTGGTCAGTAGGAAACAGAGCATCACTGAGCCCTGGGACAGCATGAGCAGAACTCCCATCCCAACATGGCTGCAGGCTAACAATGCTTTACTCTTAATTAAATTGCACAAGAGCAGATTGCCCCCACCTTTCCTTTCTGTGTATAAATTGATATAAAACTAAAGGACTGCATTTCCTTCCTGTTACTGTTAGCACCATCCCCATCATGTTCCCAAACATCTCCATGGTCCCACTTGCCTTCGGGCTTGGTTGTGAGCCCTGAGGGAGAGTTACCCTTCCTGGGGAGCTAGGCCCTTTGGGAACACAAGTCTTTGCATCCCTTTTTTCACTCACCGCCTTCCCCTGCCCACAGCACACCCCTCTGTGCTCCCCGGGGATCTACATCCGCACCCTGATCGAGGACAGCCCCGCGGCCGCCGACGGCAGGCTCTCCATCGGGGACCGCATCCTGGCTGTCAACGGCACCAGCCTCATTGGGGCAGACTACCAGAGGTGAGTCTCACCTCAGCAGAGGGCCTGGGCTGCTACCAGCCCTGGAGGAGTTCCTGTCAGGTCCAGGTTTCCGGCTGTTCTGCTCCAAGAGTGCTGCAGTGCTGAGGATGCTGCGGTATCAGCGAGCTGCAGGGAACAGGACACCAGAGAGGGGGGAAGGCTGTGGGTTTGGAAGAGGGATTATGGAGCAACAACTGGGGAGCATAAATGAGAAATAAACGAGTGCTCCGGATGTGGGCCTCAGCAATGCAGAGCTGCTGCAGCCCCATCCCACCCCAGGTTTCCTCTTGAAGGTGGTGGGATGGGGCAGCTCAGAGGCAGAGCCCAGGTGCCCATAGCACAGGGCAGCTTTGGGCTTGTTTGCCCTTGTCCTGGCACCACTAACCTGGAGGCCAAGCCCTCCACAAAGCTACAGGCAGGAGAGAAACAGCCCCTGCTTGTAGCCCTGAGCAGCACAGGTGATGGTACCAGGGGGGTGTTTTGTGACTTGACAGGCTCCTGAGGGGCTGCCAGCCCGAGGGAGCCAGAACTCACCTCTGTCCCTGTTGCTGCTCCCTGCAGTGCTGTGGACCTCATCCGCTCCGGAGGGAAAAAGCTGCGGTTTCTGGTTGCCAAGTCAGACATTGAAATAGCCAAAAAGATCAGTTCCAGCTCCTCTTCCTCTTAGTCCTTGTGGTACAAGGATCCCGCAGCAGCTTGTGGCTACAGCTCTGGTTAAGGCTGACCTCAGGGAGCCTGGAGTGCAAGAGGGAGGACCAGGACTCCACAACAGCCCTCGATGTGCTTTTGGACACTTTGCCCCTGCACTGCAGCAGATGAAAGGACATGCAAGGATGGTGCATGCTTCTCCCACTGCACTGCCTGGGAGCATCATTCCTGATCCATTGCCCAGCCTCACCTTATACCCAGTGTCGTCCTTCTCAGGAGCTTTCCTGTTCCTTTGTCCCCTCTGGCAGGGGGAGGGAAGGGAATGCTCCTACCATGAGGATGTGTAGGCAGGCTCCTCTGTTCCTTTAGGCTGGCAACCCTGTGTAATATTTTATGCTGGCAGGCAGAAGGCTTGAAATACCTTTGGGTTTTGAAGAGAACATGTGAGGCAGGCCTGGACTTCACTGTGGCCACCTGAGGTGCTGGCACATCAGTCTGGAGAAGTGTGCCCAACTCTGAGGGTGGTGAAGGCAGCACAAGCACCCAGGAGTGCATTGCCAGGAGTTAATTCCCCTGATGGAATTATACACTAGCTCAGGTGCCTTTCTGCTGCTGGGCTACAGCCCTGCCTCAGGATGGGAAGCAGCTGCAGCGAAGGGCTGACACCACCAGCAGTTCCTGTGAGTCCTGGGGAGAGCTCCCTGCAGAGGAGGACTCCCTTGCCCTTGCTCTGCAGATTCACTGCCCGGCTCTGGCACCACGATCGTGGCTGAGGGCTGCCAGGACTGACAGCACAATGTTCCCACAGAGGATTGGTGCCACCAGGAAGCTGAGTGAGCCCAGCAGCACTCGGCACTGCCACCAGCCCAGGCAGACAAGTGACAGCTCAGCACCACGTCCTGCTCCCCCAGCTTTGCCTCATTGCAAGGCCACCCTGATTTGTGCCCTGCTTGGAGCATCTCCCGGGTGTGTGCTGCTGAAATGCCGGCAGGTGAGGATGGACAGCAGAGACTCCCTTTGGGATGACACTTGTGAATACCCCAGGAACTGCTCTGCTACCGACCCCGGCCTCAGCTCAGCCGGGGGTTCAGCTCCATCGTGTGGCTGCCCGGGTCCCAGCACACCCGGCCTCCTGCCGCCGCCTCCTCCCTCTGCTTTTAGCACCATTAACGGGATAAACCCGACCTCATTTCCACATATAGACAGATACTGAGACCTACTTTAGCCGAACCCTATTAAAACAGCCTGCAGCAAAGCCCTCCGGCACACCCTGCACGGTCCAGGCTCTGGCAGGGGATCAGATACTCACATGGCATCTCACAACAACAGTGCTCGGAGGATTGTGATGCCAAAACAGGGCTGGCTTTAATTACACCTCACTGCTGCAGTTTTGGTTCCTGAGCTTAGTCTTGCACGTCGCAGGAGAGAGATGTCAGAACTCCATGCATGGGAAATGCTCCACTACTGGATTTCAGTGCAGCCTGGATTGCTTTTCTAGGCAAGATGGACCAGGCACCTTCTCTGAGACATGAGTGCCTTGCTGCTCTGCTGGGCCACGCTCACAGCCCTGGCCTTGGGTGCATCCGGGGACTGGGGCATCCTCCTGCCACTGACTCAGCTCTACCAGGTAGGTGAGCAAAGGCTCAGAGCTTCTGGTGATTCACTTCACTTTCAATCAAGTAGGTATGCTGGCCTGTCATCCTCCACAGAACTTGGAATGGGCTGCCTAAAGCCTCTGGGCAAACTGCATGCACTCCTTACTCCCCTCTGCCCCGGAGCCAGGGCTTGGGGTGAGGCTTGGTTTGCACTAGACAGTGCTGGAGCTGCATCCTGGCACGTTCCAGCAGTACCAGTGCAACTCACTGAGCACCCCTGGAGCTGGAAAACAGCCCCAGAGCTGTGTGTCACTCACGGTGCAGTCAGGTATTGAAACAGACTGTAAATAAACCCTGTATTTACTAGTGTGCATGAGGGCTGGCTTCTCCCAGGAGGAGCAGTGGGATGGATTGAGTTCCCTGTGTGTTAATATGTACAGCTGAGATGTGTATAAAGCTCTGGTGCAGATACTGAGCACAGCATGGCGCCTGTCGGACACGGTGGATGTTAAGAAATGCTCTGTGTCAACAATAAACTGGATCAATAAAACTCTCGAAGCCCTGCTCTGGCAGCTGTCTCTTGGATCTCTCCGTGTTCACTCCAGTGGTGAGACACAAGAGCAGGGAGGGCTCCCAGATGTGCTGGAGTCAGTCCTGCTTCCTCCAGCTCACACAGGCCTTTGCCTGATCTGCTGCAAAGAGAGGCAAGAGAAGCAGCACGTGCAGGTGTAGAGCAAAGGGGAGGGGAAACAAAGCAGAGGAAGGGAGGGAACAAGTACATCTCCAAAGAGACAGGATGTGCTGACAGAGAATTAATGCACCATTCAGTCTCCTGCAACATTTGCACAAATCCACCAGGATTTTTAATGCATACTCACCAGGAAGGGATAAGACAAGCTTAGGAGATAAAAAAGCAACAGGCACTAGGACAGAAATACAGCTTTAGATCAGAAGAGCAGCTTCAGCTCTCCTTATTCCTGTTCTCTGTTTCATTCACAATCATTTGTTCCTCTTTTCCAGTTAAGATCAGGGCCTCAGCCTTGAGTGTCAGCAGTGTCCAGCGAGTTATTCCAGAAACCTCCTGCCCTCACACTGGCACGGAGCCTGGAGCAGGCTCCAGGAGCTGGGTGACCATCCTCAGGGCCAAAGGGAGGGAGTCATTCACCTCCCTCTGAAATTGTGTGCTGGCCACGGGTGGGGTGAGCACAAACTGAGCCACGCTGGGCATCTTGAGCAGGTTCATGAGTTCAGTTGCACGTATAAGGATCTCCTCAAGGTCTTCCTCACGGTAAACAGAGGTGACAGCAGGGCTCTGCACAAATGTCCTCATCTTGGACAGGAACATGGACACTCTGCAGGAGAGGACACAAATATCAGCTGGCAGGACCTTTTCACCCAGCCAGTCACTACTTAAGTGTGTAAACTCCCACAGACTAGTGCAGGTGACAGAGAATTAGTCAGCAGATGAATCCACTCCTCTAAACTGTGCCCTTCCACAGCTCACCTCTGTCCTCTTTCAGCTGCCAGACTCAGTTATTAATTAACACCAGCACACCCACATTCAGACTCATGGAATCTGCACGTTTCAAGCCTCTGCTGGTGCTCACCTGGGGATCAAGTCCTGGCTGCGGGCTGCCAGCTTGGTCAAGGTGGCCATGAGGACACTGATGGCATGGGGGGCACAGCTGGGGGTGCTGGCCTGTGGCTGCAGCTGGGTGATCTCAAAGAGCACGGCCTCCAGGGGCTCGAAGAACCGTGTGATCTGCTCCACTGTGCAGCGCTTGTCGTGGGACACCGACAGGAACTCGCCCACAGCCCACGCCTGGTGCTAGGGCAGAGGGAGCACAGGGAAAGGGAACAGAATGATTTTTAGGGGATAGAGAATCAGGTGAGCTAATGCTAGGAGAGAGGAGGAGAGTGCAGCTGGTGCAGCCCGTGGCAGCAGCAGCCCTGCTCACCAAGTGGGTGAAGATGGCCTCCTTGCTCTGGATGTTGCTGACTGCTCCCAAGAACTCCAGGATCTCTGTGGACAGTTCCACCAGGAGCGCAGGGCGCAGCCTGCAAAGCGTTGCCAGCTGTGAGCCCAGCACCCTGCAGCAGAGACACAGGCACAGCTCAGACCAGGGCAGGGTGGTGATGCCCAAAGCCAGGAGGGGCTGGCAGCACCCAGCCACTGGCACAGGGCTGTGCCCTCAGGGTATTCCCAGCCAGCATGAAGCTGCAGCCCCCATTTTGCACTCTTCAAAGATATGTCACAGCAGGGACTGGGCCAAAACTGAAAAAGCTGCCCTGGGATGCCAGAAGGAAGGGCTGGGAGCTGGGCTGTGCCTCCTGTCTCATCTCACCTGTACACATCCTCTTTAAACGCTAGGATCTCATAGAGCTGGTCACTCTTCTGCAGCAGCAGCACCACCAGCTGGTTTATCAGAGACCCATCTGCAAACTGAAAGCCAGCCCTTGTTTCAGCAGTACAAGTGACATCAAGAGCCATACCTCAAAATAACCAGCCAGGTAAGACAGCTGGCAGAGAAATTGCCTGGTCTAGGAGGGGAGCAGTGCACAAAGCAGGTATCAGGCACTCACTGTGCTCTCATCCCTCTCCTTTACAGCTGTTTGAGAGCACAGAATGAACCTGACACTGCCCCACAGACCTTTTCTGTTTCTCTGATCAAGTGGCCAGCTCAGTGCTGGTTCATGTCAGTACCAATCCCACTCTCCCTTCATGCACCCCTCTCTCAGAGCTGCAGCATCTTCACCATTTTGCTTCTACAACTGCTCTTGACATAAAAAGAGATCCCTGCAGCACAACTGGGAACTGAACTCCCCCAAAAAGACCTACCTCTGCCACCACCCTGAAAAAGAGCTCCAGTAAGACAGGGACAGTCTCTGCACACTGCACTACCCTTGGGCTGCCAGCCAGGGATCCCAGCAGCTGCCGAAGTGGAACCAGACTGAGGGCAAAAGAAGAGTAACTGTTGAAGGTTTGTTCCCAGTTGCCTTTCTTTATTCCCCACAGGCCTTGAGTGCTGGCAAAGATGACAGAGGGAAGAGAAATCCACCTCACGCCAGCTCAGAGCAGCTGTGCCTTGCTCAGTAATCCCAGTGCTGCCTCCAGGAGCTGGGTGGCTGAACCACACTGCAGACAGGCTCCTACCTCTCCGGAGCATCCTCGGGAGCAGCCTTGGTGCGGAGCAGATACTGGAACAAGCTCTTGTAGAGGGGATGGCCAAAGGCCTCCAGACACGTGGCTGCTTTCCCAGCTGGGTCAGCCCCGGCCTTCTCAGAGGCAGAAAGAGCTGCTGCCCTAGCAGGGAACACACAGAATGTGCTGCACTGTGACCATGGGCCAGGGCAGAGCTGGGATCCTGAACACTGAACAGCAAGTTGGTCTAATCCAGGCTCTCCGGAAGCCAGAGAGCCAAACTGAGGAGTTCAAGCCCCCCATATTCAGACAACAGTTTCAGACTTTCTTCTGTGTCATGGCTGGGAAAGGGAAAAATGGCACTCTATTCCTCAGTTATCCAAGCCCACCAACATCTGCTTCCAGGATGGCTCTCTTTTCTAAGCACTCCAGAAAGAGCTGTAATGTAAGGAGGACAAGGAAGAACAGAGGTACACCCAGTTCCAGTCCTACCCCACCCTCATGGAAACTCATAGCTCCTAAGATCTCAGGAAGAAAATTCTGTGTGCCTCCAGGAGAACAAAGCTAAAACCAGGGCTAAGAGCAGGTAAGGAAGAATAGGCATTTCACCTCTGTATTGAGATGGTAGCTCGTGGAAGCCTCAAACATGTGGCAATCATTTAAAGTTGGAGAGGGAGAGGGGAATGGCAACAGATCCCTGATCCCCAAAGACAGTCCAGTACTGAAATGTGAGAGCTGGTCACCTTCTCTTCTCATGGACAACACATTACGAGGAACACTGGGCTGACATCTGTGCAGCCTTGTGTTAACCTCCCTGCAGTGATCCCCTTGCTCTGTGCCAGCTGAGGCTCAGAAGTGTGCACTGGGCTTTGGTCAGTGTTAAGATGCTGATTAACAAGTGAGAAGGGAAGGTGCATTACCTCAGCTGGATGTCCAGAGCTGCTGTCAGACAGGGCAGGTCAAGCAGCAAATGGAAGATCTCAATGGTTGTGCCTGGATCCAGCAGAAATGGGAGAAGGTCCACAAACTCAGAGATCAGAGGTGGGCTGTTCCATGCCAGGAACTGCAAGCAACAAGCACAAACTTCTGTTCCATCACACACCCAGACAACTCCACACTGTGACCAGATGGGATGGGGAAGAGAAAGTCACTTCTTCAAAGCAAAACCAGAGAAATCTGAGGGCTTGGTCAAAACCCAGGAGCCTGTTAGAAGCTCAACACAGGCCTCTGGCAGCTGGCTCAGTGGCTGGCAAGCTGCAGCTTACTAAACTTTTCCAGAAACAAAGTGCTGTGTCCTGTGTTCACTGTGCTCCCCAGCCCTCCACAGTCCTGCCAGCCCAGACTCTTCTCTCCTGGCAGTGCTGGACACACCCAGAACCCTCCTCCCTTTCAAACTCACACTTGTTTTGTGACAATCCTTCTTGCCTGTGCTCTCCCTAGCACTGCCATGAAGGCACATGGAGGGCTCTGGGGCACAAAAACAAAGTTCTAGGGCACAGAAGGGGATGTGATGCAGGTTCTCCCCTTTGCTGCTCCAACATGTTGTACCTTGAAGAGATTTGGGAAGCTCTGCCTGAATATGCTGGAGGAGTCTGTGAAGAGCTGGCTGTTGTCTTTGCAGAACTGGACAAATTCGAAGGCCAGTGATGGGTTGTGGAAGAGCTGAGCTGGGATATCAGTGAAGAGGTGTTTGTAGATGGCATCAGAGTCCACAGCTGCCAGTTTGCCTGGGAGGACACAGCACCTTGCTGAATTCCTACATCTCAGAGCTGTAAACCCCCTGCTTTGCTTTCCTATGTGTCTCAACCACATATCCCACAAAAAATGTCAAAGAACACCAGCACTTCTAGGCTACTGTTTTCCAAAACAAGGTGATTCTGGGAATCCAAACCAGCAGGTAACAGACTAACAAATGTTCTTGTGAGGTCACCATGGCAACTCAGCACTCACCTGTTTGGTTCTGGGACTGGAGAAGAAGCCTCCAGAGGGTTGAGCCATTCCTTGCTGAATGCTTGCATACCTCAGCCAGTCAGCCAGCTTTTTACTGACAACATCGATCTGTTCTGTACAAGGGAAGTGACAGGGTCATTGCTAGATTGAGCACAGAAGCAGCCTCTGCAACATGTCCCTGTTAACCCTCAGGTGCTGTGCTTTTTCTCCAGCCTGGATCACTCTCTGAACCAGCAATCCATAAAGAAATTGGTAGCCCAAGGTGGGTGCTCTATACCCCTCATACCACCTCAGCCAGGGAGTGAATGCTGGAACCAAGGACTCTGCTACCAGATCACTCAAGAGATACTTGTTGCTTTGTCTCCATCCACAGCTGCTGTTAGGGGGAATGTACAAAATCACTGTCACTTTATTCAGGCACTGTCTGGCTTCAGCTCTGCAGCCAAAGGCACAACTCCCTCACTGGGAACTCACAGAAACTGGGGCAGATGATCCTTCCTGCTCTGCCATGCACCCAGCCCAACATCCTCCCCAAAGCTTCTCTGGCACACCGCATGAAACACACAAACCTCACAGGAAACTCCCAGAAACTCACCCTTGCTCACAACTCCCCAGCATTTTAAGCCTGGAAAGCTCTCCTAGGTTAACTCACCACTACCTACCCAGTGCTGCCTCTCTGATGAAGAGCACTTCTAGTTGTTCCTGCTGCTCTGTTGACCAGATGCACAGGCACATCTCTGTTTCTCTCTTGGCTTGATGCTCTTCAGGATAGCTACAGTTTCACACTCCTGCTGCAACCTCAGCTAGAGCACATGATCCTGTTATACAAATCCAGGAAGGCCCAGTCCCAGGGTAGTGGAATACATCTCACCCAGTAAGTTCCCTTTCCTCGTAGCAGAGATGTCACTTTTGACAGCAGTTCCCAACTGAGAGCCTTCTGATCAGTACCCAGACCACAGCCAGGTGGCAATCTCAGCCCTTCCTATAGCTTTACCTTCTGTTAGAGACCCTGGGGAAAGGCTGAGGACATTTGCCAGGACAGGAAGAAGGAACTGAGCATTCTGACCCTCAGGCAGTCTCCTTTCCAAGGCTTTCACAACACGCTGCCCCACAGCTGCCACTTCACCCTTATTTCCCTGAAAAATAAAGCAGAGGTAAAGATAGAGACCAATCTCCTCCATCAGGCTTCAATACCAAAGTCAAACACAAAAAGAACTCACAGGACAAGGGATTTTACCACATTTCACAGGGATTTTCTGCCATTTGAATTCACAAATCCCAAACTGTGGGGCTGGTTATGTCTGTTTTTACATTGTGGAATTGCAGGACAGCCCCAGTGCTGGATATGGGAGAGAAGAGCTTTGTGAGGCAGCATGTAAGTAATACATTGATGGTTTCTGTTTCACTTTAAGTAGACTCAGATGAATGTCAGAAACACTGGAGACATTTCTAAGCACACAGTGAAACTCAGAACGAGAAGTTTCACAAAAATATTTTACCTTTAACAGACACAATACAAATAAAGGAGAGGAAAAAGAGAAATTTCCAGCTTGTTCCCCAGGCAGCACTCGAAACAGGGAGATCCTCATGTTTGCTTCTCTTAATGGAGAATCTGGACCTTTGAAGTGTCATTGCATTTACAGTTTTACATGTTTTGTAGGTTCTATGTATGTTTTTTATATGTGAACATGAAAGCCAATATCGTAAGACAAATAATATCTAAAATGCTTTGCTTTCCTCCCCAGGTTCAAGCAATCCTGATTTGAAATCTATTTCAGCAGCCAGCTCTAAAGGGCTCTTTTTTGCTTCCTGGACCTCAGTGTCTAAACATTACAGTTTTAAGCATTTTCTGTTGTTATGTGCCATTTTTCCTCCATGCAAAGCAGAATAATGAGATCCTTTAAATGAACACAGAAATACCTCTGCTTTTTTCCTACATATTTGCAAGTGGTTTTCACTCTCCTTGAGCTCAGGGAGGAGCTCAGGAGCAGGGAACAATCAAAAAGCAAATCCATATTGATAAGAGAAGAGCTCTGCTTTGACAGGTCATTTACCTGAGCCAGAAGGACGGAGGACACCAGGCTCAAGAGCTTTGTATCTTGAATTTCATCACAGGAGAGGATGAGATCGTTGCAAGGTGACATCTCTCTCAGGATGGCAGCACATAACACCTGAATCTGCTCAGGACTTTTGGGTGAGCACAGCACTGTCTGCAACAGCTCCACAAACTCGCCATCGAGCCTGCAAGAGTCACAGTGAGCATCACTGCAAGGCAAGAAAAGATCCAGATGTTTATTTCCTGCCTATTTTTGGCTCTGGGATGATCCCCCTTGCCAGTGACTACTGCCACTCATCACCTTCATTTCTGAGTGCACTTCCACAGAGGGTTCAGTGACACCGACGCTTGTTAATCCTGCTGCAAAAGGAGACGGGCACCCTCTGCTCAGCACGGGGGTGAAAGGCAAAGAGGGGCTTTGTGTTTAAACTGAACCTAGGGTTTTCAAGGCAGTGTGTTATTTTAAAGCCCTAACCCACGCCCTTTTTTTTTTTTTGCTTAGGAAGGTAGCGCTTCGCTTCTCGGAAGACCCGGGACACGCAGGGGCACTCACTTGCGGGGGTACTTGGTGGCGGCCACCGTGAGGTGCAGGCTCTGCAGCCCATCCACGGCCTCGGGGCCCGGCTCGGGGCCCTGCAGCAGGGCGGACACGCGGGCGGCGAACCTGCGCAGCTCCTCCGGCTGGATCTCCCTGCCGGGGCAGTCGGGGCTGTCACGGAGCCGGGCCCTCACGGGGAGCCCCGGCCCGGAGGGTCGGTCCTCACCGCCCTCCCCTCCGCCCGGCCCCGCCAGCCCCCCGGCCCGGCCCGAGGGCTCCGTGGCGCTGTCCCGGTGCCTGCCGCACCTCGCCCGCCGCAGGAATCTCTCGGCAGCCGCCGCGAACATCCCGGGCCCGCCGCGAACATCCCGGGCCCGCCGCGCCCCGGCCCCGCCGCGGTGCGCGGCAAAAGCCGCCCCCCATGGGCGGCCGGTACGCCGCGCCGGCTCCGGGGGAACGCGGCGGCTGCTGCGCCAAGGTTCCGCCCGGCGGGAAGGGTCGCAGAGGACGGGGGTGACCAAAATCCTCCCCGGCGGCTGCTCACGGGCTGCCCGAGGTGCTGGTGTGATCATCCCACACCTCAGGAGCCTCAGCACAAGCTGGGCTCTGAGGCCACCCCGCCCCAGGCACTCAGACCTATGGAGAACATCATTATATGGCAGGGATGAGAGCTGGTGCTTCTATGGACAATGAATGTTATCAGCCTTTCCTGCAACCCGTTCACAAATAGAACTTCCAAAACAGGTAGGAGATGTTAAACCAGCTGCTCAGGTCTCCAGCACTCCCAGAAATTAAAAATCCATCAGGACTTTCTTTCCTGGCTGCTAACACGGCTGAAGCTCTCAGCACCACGCTGAGCACTGCCCTGCAAGGAGGAGAGAGATGCCAGGGGATGGGATTTGGCACTCTGCCTTTGGTACTTCCCTGCCCTGTGCTCTCCTGGCATTAAAGTTCATTAGCACCATGCCTGGGCAATCAGCCAGCAGAGCAGCAGCACGTGGTGAGACAAAGGATAATTTTAAATACACCTCCCTTTCCAGAAAAAGGTCTGGATTAATACTGCTTACTGTGTATTGTGTTATTAATTTTTTAATTAGTCAATTTAAAAAATGCTCCGTGTAGTAACAGAAGCGAGACTACAAGAGAGAAACTTTTTACAAGGGCATGGAGTGACAAAACAAGGGGGAATGGCTTCAAACTGAGAGGGCAGGGTTAGATGGGATATTGGGAAGGAATTCTTCCCTGGGAGGGTGGTGGGACCCTGGCACAGGGTGTCCAGAGAAGCTGTGGCTGCCCCTGGATCCCTGGCAGTGCCCAAGGCCAGGCTGGATGGAGCTTGGAGCAGCCTGGGATAGGGAAATAAGGGAAGGTGTCCCTGCCCACGTCAAGGATTGGAATGAGGTGACTTTTAATGCTCTTTCCAATCCAAACCATTCAGTTGTTCTGAAAGTCTATGAATTACAGCTACTTTGTGTCAATTGAGGCATTAAAAGATATTACCATTAATTTTGGAGCTAAGAATGTTTAGTCAAAATAAACCCAGAACTTAAATTGTAGCTGCATTAGAAGAAAAAGGAGGAAAAGCCTAACTACAAGACAGATAAAATACTGTTTTCTGATCTCACAGACTTAAATGAAAGCACTTATTATAAGTTACAGGGGAACACACTAGAGCAGTTTAACTTTCAAAATAACAATGTTTCACTTCATGACAAAACAAAAGCTGGAGCTGGAGGAATCGTTTATCAGCCCCAGGGGAAGCATCTCAGATCTCAAACACACAAGTCCATGTGTTCACTCTGCTGCGAGTCAACAGCTGCCCCAATAACTGACAAGGGATCAAAAGTCTGAACTCCAAACAGTGCAAGGTGTGCAGATACACACTTCCTGCCTACATGGAAAAAACAAAAAAAAAAAAAAAAAAAAAAAAAAAAAAAAAAAAAAAAAAAAAAAAAAAAAAAAAAAAAAAAAAAAAAAAAAAAAAAAGGAAAAAATATTAAACACACTATTCCCTCACTGCTGCAGGAAACTCAACCCCTCCTGTGATGTTACACTGGAAGGATCCAAGTCTGGCACCCAAAAACAGCAAACCAATTTCAGGGCATTTTCTCTTTCATATATAATTTTATTTCTGGTTATAGAAACAAATGCTAAGAGGAGAAGCAACATTCCCCAACCACATACATCAAATTAAGGTAACAGAACAGTTAAAATAAATGAAAAAAAAAAAAAAAAGTAGAAATTTAAACCTTTGTTATAGCTTTAAAATATTAACGTTCTCGATACATTAGAAATCACATTCAGATCTCAAATTACTTAAAAAAATGTATGGCTCTATATTAAAAAAACAAACAAACAAAACCACTGTATCCCATTTGAAGTGGAAACACAGGTCCTGCTCCTGGGATGCAGGATCCCACACCCTGCTGGGAGCCAGGGCTGCAACATGGCCAGAGAAAGAACATGAACTTCACATCCACTGCCCCCATGGAGCTTCCCCCTTGGGATACACACCTGCTTTTTAAAAAGCACTGGGAACGAAAACAAATCACAAAAAAAAAAACAACCCAAAACAACTTTTGATATCGGCTGTAAAAAAAAAAAAAAACAAACAAAAAAAACCAACCCACAAACCCCAAAACATCTGGCTGGAGGTGTCTTGCACAGGCAACACCAGGAACTGAAATGCAAGCATGGCTTTAGTTTCCCCTTCCCATCACCTTCTTATTCTATAAAATAAGTGCCAAACTGAGGTGAAAGGGGTAAGGCTGGCCCAGATGTCTGCAGCAAACCCTTCTGTGAAGCCATTGAGGTATTCCAGGTTCTCCTCTCAGCCTTCCCCGGGGACTCAGTGGGAATGAGCATCTGCACAACAGGGGGAAGAGGTGGATTTTTCTGAATTTGTTTTTATTAGAGCAATTATTCAGAGTTGGATCTGATTTTCCAGCTTTACCATCCATTGCTCACACACAGCTTTTGATTTATCCCTAAACAGCTTTTAACAGTCCTTTGGATAGCTACAGACTCTTAAAATGCTCTTTTTGGCTACGTGGAGGTTGGCTGGCAGGCTGGGCAAGGCCAGCCTCCTCAGCACAAACAGCATGTCCAGAACCCAACACAACATATGGTCTTGTAAGATTTTCATATTTTAAAGCCATTTTCTGTATCACTATGTTTGAATGAGTTTGGTTTTGTTTTTTTTTTTTAATTTTTTAAATTTTTTTTTTACATTCTGTTTTCTATTAAAGCAAAAAGATCTTACAAACAATACTCTGGTTCCCTCTACTTCAAGCCCATTTGAGGGAGAAAAAAAAAAGAGAGATTAAGCAAGTTTAGGTTTACAGTAATTCAATTGCTACAGAGCCAGCTTAGCAGCCTGCCCACCTCCCAAGAGCAGCATATAAATCCGCAGAACATCAGGATGTTCTGCACCAGACTTTTAGCAGCAAGACAGTGAAACAGAAGGAATTCTCACTTTTTCTGCTCCATTTAAATCTCATTTTTCTTCAACTATCAGACATTTCTCCTCACCGTTGCCCTTAGCTTTAAGGAAGGCTCTGTCTCAGAGTGCTTTAAGTGAAACTGAGGTGGGGTAGGAGCAGGACAGAAAGGTCCAGACCACAGCATAACTTGGCACAGACACGAGGCAACAACCAAATATTAGGGGCAGTCTGGGTTTCCCAGGGGCTGTTTTCTGCTGGATGAGGAGGAAAGCTGCTTCCTTTCACTGCTCCTACTCTGGTCACTCTTCCTATCACCAACCCTGTCCTCCCTGAAGTACTGAAGCCCCATCAGCAGCCAGTGATTGCTGAGGTGAAGCTTTCACTCAGATCCTCATAGAGAATTTCTGCTTCTGGAAGAGCAATTAAGATTAGGAAGTCAAATATCACTTGCTTTTATTCTCAAAGGACCCGAGTGGTTCAAAATACACCCTTCTGTGAATTTAGTGATCCCTGTAGAATTAAATCACACCTGAACTTTGGCCAATTCAGCAAAAACTTTACTCCCTGTGAATGGAAACATTAGAAAAACTCTTCTGTGCTTGTTTTTAAGGGGAATATAGACACACCTCACCCCAAAAAGAGACAGAAGCATGACAAAAGGAAAATTATCTCACCACAGAAGAAAAGAAACTATTTCCTAGCGCCCCAGTGTTAGCTTAGCCACCTGACAGAGAGAATTCCTCAGCCTTACAGCATCCTCGTGGAGCCCCCATAAATCTCCTCTGTTAGAAATAAGGTCCCATTATTTACAGAGCAGAATCTGTAAACAACTCCCTGATACTGCATCTAGAGAGAACTGCAGACAAGAAAGGATTCCAGCTTTCATTAGTGCCATTTGGGGGCTTTTTTTTGCCAGAAAAGCAGTGTGGACTGGGGTTGCTGCAAGCAGGACAAAGCCAGGAGCAGGGATCCTACAGAAGGAAGATGCAAGTACCAGGTTGCTTCTTCTGCTCTGCGAGAGGAATGAAAGCAATCACTGAAGTAAAGCTGCTTCCACTGGCTGCTCACATTTGTTACAAAAATAAGTTCATCATTCTTTCAGAGTCAGTGCCTGGTGCAGGAATTACCAACACACTGTATAAAAGTCTGTGTAAGTACCATTCAAGAGAAAGAAATAGTCATGGACCACTTATATATCTATATTGACACACACGCTCACACACTCACACATTAATAAATATAAATTTTATGTTTACACAGATCTAATTTCATATTCTCTGAAAAAAAATATTTAAAGGGTTTCTTCCTTAGCTGCCACCCATAAATTGTCAATGGTTTTTTTTCTGTCTTGAGAGCAAAGGGGTAGATTTGGCACACTACCCTCATGCTCTGAAACTTAAAGTGACACATAAGGAGAGGACCAACCATACATTCTGAAAGGTTTTAATTCAGTGTTGGTAAATCAAAAAGGTATCAAAAGAATTTTCCAAACATATAAATACAAATGTCAAAAATTGATTCAAAATTTGGAATTTAAATATAGTGCTCCAAAAAAACAAAGTATTTTTCAAAATGTCTTGCTCAGGCCAAAGTAAAATACTCCCTGGTGTATTATTGCCCCATGAAAGACACCCTAACAGAGAAAGCCCACCCTCACAGCTACAGAATTCCCACTGCTGGTTATGGCATGGGAATATACCCACACCTGTATGCACAAACATGTGCACTGACCTGCAAACAACCCACCCAGCAGAGAGAGGTGTAAAAAATCTAACAAATCCCAGCCCAAGAGCTGCCAGGCAGCCCAGAGAGAGATTCCCCAGCCACGTCTTGATCAGGTGCAGATCAGCATGCAGGAAGGCATCAGCTCCAGCAATCCAATGACCCTGTAGTGTAACTGTTTTCTGCAGCACAGCTGGCTCCACTGGAAGCTAGACTTT